GTAGGTCGTTTGTGTCTGCACTTGTGTCGTCTGTCTGTAGAGTACATGAGCATACAGGTGTACAACCGGGACATGAATGATACAAGCATTGAGACGTGTTTTTGACAAAACAGGATGTTGTGGACTGTATTGCATAGAAGGGGAAATCATGGAGTTGTCGTAGTAGTTGTAGTAGTAGGTGTAGTAGTAGTAGTAGTAGTAGTAGTAGTAGTAGTAGTAGTAGTAGTAGTGGTGGTGTTGGTAGAAGAACAAATCGTGTCGTAACAAAAGTAAAATAAATGGTCCATTTTTTACGTCTTTGATATATAGATCATACGATGACTCATGTGATAGGTCTCTTAGCACACCGTGTGTGATGGCGTCATCATCAACTGTAATCATTTCCTAGGTCAATAAAACATCACAATAAAACTTCTTTATGTATAATCTCAGAGGTCAAAGCTATTTTTCCCATATACCAATATTTCCAATATTTCCGTATAAACGTCCATCCATTGTCCCGTCTTGGAGCAATATAACATACACAGGGAAAACATGGGACAATATTGCCAACTCAACGGGGCTAACTTTCTCTAAAGCACTCCAGAGACCCACACCCGGACATCACAAACCTGAGGCCAGACATTGATTCCCTTCCGTGTGTGCGGTATTGTTCATCTCATGTTTCTGTCAGTCGCCCACCAATCAAAGGTCTACCCAGCGGCGTCACGGAAACCAGCCTAGCGGAAAGGCCGGTGCTGGATCGAAATGTTTGAACCGCGACACTACCGCCCGGGTTATCTTAGTTCGATCAAAACCCGCACGGAATTTAAGTTTGTCGAGGAAATGAATTTATGTGCCGCTACATTTTTATATCTCTTTTATGTGTATTTGTTTCGTATTTTTGTAATTTCTTCCTGTTGTTCTGTTTTACGGTGTGGGTTTTATGTTGCTGCTTTTCTTTCTTTCTTTCTTTCTTTCTTTCTTTCTTTCTTTCTTTCTTTCTTTCTTTCTTTCTTTCTTTCTTTCTTTCTTTCTTTCTTTCTTTCTTTCTTTCTTTCTTTCTTTCTTTCTTTCTTTCTTTCTTTCTTTCTTTCTTTCTTTCTTTCTTTTTCTTAATTCCTTCTTTTATTTCGTTGTTACATTTATTACATTTTACGCACTCTTTTGTACATATTTCTGATATCTTTTGATTGTGTATATTCCTTGTTATATTTCTTTAACATAGCTATTCTATCGGCTACTTCATTGAGATCGTGTGCACTGTTTATAGTTTGGTTCACTGGCTGTCTCCCAAACAGAGTATCTATAGTCAGTGCTACCTATGCAAAGTAGGTATTACAGTCATGTCCCATTTCAATCCCCACAAGTTTCAGCTCCACTCCCAACCCCGCACCCCCAGACCACTCAACGGCCGCCAGAACATGGGAGTTCAAGCCACGTTGAACCCCAACCCCTCCCTATTTTATGGGTCTGAGGCCTAGCATTTGAAAGAAAGGGTATTGAAAGGGGTGGTTCCCCGTGTGGGTTCCCGGGCCCCATTGTATGGAACCCACTGCCTGCCCCTAAGCATGTCGTAGGAGTCGACTAAATGGGAGCTTTCGTCGAAGTCGGAGTGCATCTGTCTGAAAGGCTAGGAATCTAGAGTCTGAACACAAATTAGTCAGATCTGTCAAACGGATGCACATGCAGCACTCAGATTCTGAAATAGGACTGCACTGCAGAGGTGGATGTACAACAGAACTTTCTGCCAGAGTCTAAAGCGAAGAGGAAGGAGAAAGGGACGGGGTAGAGCTGAGTTTAGGTTTGAGGTTAGTGACTGCGGTTAACAATTTCATGATCCCTGGGTACCAAGGTACCTCACGATCGACGGTTAAAATAAAATAACGTAGTGGGACATCGTCACGTTTTATTCTCAAAGACAGCAGTGGCCCACTGTAGCCAACCTTTATCGAGGAGGCGGCACACGATATATATTCTACATACTGGGAGGGGGAGAGTTCTAATCCGCATCGGCACTATTATGTACATGAGACCAAGGGCTACTAGTCCGAGCCAGCATGACGCTGGGTGTAGAGACTATAACATCAATCGAGTACCGATTATCTCAAATCCTCCCCTTCCAGTTTCTCATAATTCTTCCTGAACACAAAACTAATGATTTATACTATTTCCCTCTTTTCAGTTTTCTCCGCGACAAAATTTTTATTTTCCTTTATAGAGCCGGTCGCTCACATGTGCACAATTTTGTCAACATTGCATGGCAGGAGCAATCGATAAATCGCTGTTCATTTCACTGCACAGATATTATTGATTACTTTCCATTTTCCTTCCACAAAACGGTTGCCGTCTCCTGCGAGGGACTTGTTTGCCATTTTATGTTTGTTGGCCGGTGTGTCTTCTGTTGCATGTTAACCACTGTCGCTTTCAGAGAAGCATCTGGTTACTATGGGAAAACTAAATTCTTTCAGATTTCTCAAACGAACCGCGACAGGCTTGGGTTCAAATCCAAATTAAATTGGATCTTTTTTTTTCTAAAATGCAGTGGAACCTCAGAATAGATTTGTTGATGGTGTGCGTCCTATTTAGACGCGAAAATTTTTGCTCCCTAAACCTTTGGAATACGAATTTATATGAGTCAAAATTAATTATGAAAACCCTGTCTTTGAGTTTAACTTTGAGTCCCATATAGACATCAATGACTTTGCTGATAAAAACCACAGTACAAAAGCCCAAACCAGTTGTACTAGCATTGTCCAAACATCCTGCTGGGGAGAAGGCAGAATCAAAGTTCTTTAGATAGATTTTCAGTAAAGGTCGAACATGATGAATCTTAACCAAGTAGCCAAAATAAATCTAAGAAAACAGGGGGGGGGGGGGAGAGAGAGAGAGATAGATAGATAGAGAGAGAGAGAGAGAGAGAGAGAGAGAGAGAGAGAGAGAGAGAGAGAGAGAGAGAGAGAGAGAGAGAGAGAGAGCAAAAGCAAAAAATACCAAACTTTAAGATCCCTGGAGCTTTAGAAAAAGGGGACTCTATACCTTCTAAATAATAACACCTCCTCCTCCTCCTCCTCATCCTCCCTTCTTGGTACCATCCTAAAAGACATCCAACTCCGCCAATGAAGGCTCAGTGAGGTTACATTTTCATTTACTTAAGTATATAAATTATTGTCCATCAAGTCTTTTTTTTTTGACCCCTTCAAGGGAACGGATTAAACATAGCCGCTTTATTTCTTAGGAGGCGCCCTGGTGTAGCGGCTAGATGCTCGGCACCCTGATCGGAAGATCGTGGTTTTGGGGTTATGACAGAGCCGGAGCTCCCCCCCGCCCTCCACACCTCTTCCTAAAATGACCTTTTTTCGCAGGTCGACCCGGTCTTGAGTGGGTACCAGGTACAGTCCTGATAAGTAAAGGCGGTCGGCGTGATACTGACCACATCACCCACCAAATGCTGATTGGTTTATACTGTATAGGTCTAGCCCTATTTGCCCAGTACTCCTGAAAGTGTGAATAAGGGGTCCTTAACTTTTACTTTATTTCTTATAGAACAATTCGTATGGGATATGTTGTGTTTGGTTGCGTACAAGGATCGGAAACATATTAGGGACGTATAGGGAGATGCCGCTGTCACTAACTGTAGCTCTCATGCCGACCCAGCCGGAACCAGGTCCCCGGAAATGTCATTGGAAGTAAAGCGAGTGGCGTGATTTTGACCATGTCACCTATCGACTGCTGATCGCTTCATAAGATGAGCTTAGCATCATATACCCGCAATGCCACGGGCGTTAATCTGGTCCTGTTCTTTACTTACTAAAAAATCGCCGTGTCTACTCCTGGGCTTTATTGTAGGAGGAAGAAGAATAGACACACGTCTTACCCAAAAGTATATCGTAAGAATCGACGAATATAAAAAAGTAAGTAAATTTTACCCCACTAGGACATCACACAGATCGATGAACACTCGGTGGCACAAGTTGCCACCATGCTGATGAGGATCGTGGTGCGTAGAGGTCCCGGAAACCGCGTTCAACCGTTAGGTCTTACTCCGGCCCCTGGCTACAGCCAGGGACGGGCTTCAAATAACCAAAAATTGCATCCCTCAAAAAGGAAGTGAAAAAGATTTAAGTCGACTAATATTAGTAGTTGTACATTTTACCACACTAGGACATTACACAAGCGATAAACACCCGACGACACAAAAATGCACCATGCGGATGAGGATCACCCGTGGAGAGGTCCCGGAAACCGCGTTCAACTATTAGACCATATTTATGACCGGGCTATATTGTGGGCCCCTGGCAGGAACCAGGATGGGGCTTCAAAATAACGAAAAACTGCATACCACAAGTGGATGACTAGTTATGATTAGACTCCACTAATTAGGAGCTTCCTTCGTAGTCTGAGGATGCGCACGCAGCATTCAGGTTCTGGAGCAGGTCTAAAGTCCAGAAGTGGACAAACAACCAGAGCTTTCCACCGGAGTTTACAGCTGGTGAACACAAAGAAAAAGAGACTTATTGAAGATAAATTGCGTTCTTAGGACATTTGTGAATAACCTCCCCCTTTGCCCTCTTTCATTCGACTTCATTTTCATGTTCTAAAAAGAGAGAAAGGCATGGTTATTTATTTTTGTCATTCAGATCGTAGTATACCTTTATAGCGTTTTAGTTCACTTCTTTTTCCGTTATTTAGTCGTTATATAGTGGTTAAGAAGGATTGTTATGAAACCATTCGTTTGTATGTGTATATATCTTTGTTTTATCGAGGTCCTGCTTAGTTTTTTGCCCTCACTAACAATGTCGTACCAATCCCGGGCTCCATTATAGTAATCATTTTTGTGTGTCTTTTATTGTTTTGAGGCCCTAACCGGATATTGTCAGAGGCCCTAAAGTAAACTAACGGCAGAACAGGGATTTCGTTACCGAAGTCCAATAATTAAGATACGTCCAATACTGCCTACTGCATACCTTTCTTTCACATACTGTTTCATATGTAGCAGTAATTTCAACATTATACTGTTA